CTTTTACACTGCTGGAAACGAGGTGTAGGTAGGACCTTGGTCAAGAAATCAGCTGGCTGTCGTTCTGTCCTCACATGCTCGAACCTAAAACTCTTGTTCGCCAGCTGCTCTCGCACCCAGTGATACCTAACGTCCATGTGTTTTGTCCGTCCATGCCAAACGTCATTCCGAGCTAGGTCCATTGCTGACTGGCTATCTGTCCGGATGATGGTCGGATCCTCTGACCCAAGATCTAGCTCCTTGAGTAGACGCCTCAACCAAACTCCCTCCTGACAGGCGTAGAAGAGCGCCATATACGCAGCTTCAGCTCAGCGATGTCTGCCAATTTCTTGGCCTGCCACATGATCGCCGTTCCACCCAAAAGGAAAACGTACCCAAAAGCTCCTCGTCTAGTCTCCTGGTCTGAAGCGTGTGAAGCGTCTGCATACCCTACAAGCTGTAAAAACTCCTCTCCTCCTTGGAACAATAGTCCCTCGTCCTCGTGTTGTAGGAGGTAACTAATCGTTCGCTCTATCTCCTTCCATTTCCGTCCATCTGCTTGCTGCACGTTCTGTCTAAGATAGCTAGCTGCGTAAGCTACATCGACCCTCGTGCATGCCACCAGGTACATCACCGAGCCCACCATTGACTGGTACTGCCTAAGCGCAACCTCTCGACTTCCCCATCGGACCAACTCAGCCTCGGTGTCTACCCCTTGCGCTGCTGCAGTACTCAAAGGTGTGGAAATCCTCCTTGCACTATTCTGATCTCCAAACTTATCTCGAAGACGATGGAAAAAAATCTTCTGCTTCAGCATCAGTTGCCTCTCATCCCTGTTCCGCTCCAGATTCATCCCAAGGAACAATGAAGCACGTGGAATCCGCTTCACCTGAAAGACCTCTGCTAGATGAGCACACACGCTCTCTACATCCTCCTTTGTCGCTCCTGCCACTAATATGTCATCGACATATAGGAGTACGAACATCTTCTCCTTCCCTTCTCCTCTCCAATAGAATGCCCTGTCACACTCGCTCTTCCGAAACCCTCCTTGGAGTAGCCTCCTATCCATTACCCTATACCACTCCCGAGGACTCTGCTTCAGCCCATAAAGCGCATTCAGAAGTCGACACTTCCGTCCTGTACCATCATCTCTACCTGGCGGCTGCTCCATGTAAATGTCCTCACGAAGCTCGCCATACAAGAAGGCATTCTTAATGTCTAATTGTACCAGATGAAAATCTCTTGCTGCTATCACTGCAAGAAGCGCCCTAGTTGCGGTAAGTCTACTTACAGGCGTATAAGTATCGGTGTAATCGACGCCTTCTACGTGCGTGTACCCTTTCGCTACGAGCCTTGCCTTGAACCTTTCCAGCTGCCCCAAGTCTCCTGTCTTTATCTTGAAGATCCACTTCACCCCTACTACTTTCCTCCCTTCAGGCAGTGGCACTAACTCCCAGGTTCCCCTTTCTGCTAGCGTATGAAGCTCTTCCTCTATGGCTGCTCGCCACTGCTCCTTGTTCGGTCCTGTCAAAGCCTCCTCTATCGTGACCAGCTCCTCTGGTAGATCCTTCGCTGCTCTACTCCCCTGTGATACTAAGGCTGTTGCAGTAGTGGTGAGCAGCAGATGGGAATGAATGTCTCTGCATCCGGTTATGAGAATCTGAGCATACTTTGGATTCGGCTTCTTCACCCTCTTCCCCCTGCCTAACTCCTCCGTAGGCACCTGTGATGCATCCCCTCCTTCTTTGCTAGAGGCTGCTTCTTCCTGCTCCTCTCTTTCCTCCTCTTCTCGTCCTAGGATTATCGCTCCTTCTTGTAGCAAAGAGTCTATCTCCTTGGCTGCTGGACTGCCACTATCGCTCGCCATCAACCTCCATGGATCAGCCCCTTCTCCAGCTGTAGTAGCACTCCCTTGTGCGCCCTCTGCTCCTTCTAACTGATTCTCCTCTTCCTCATGGTGTTCTGCCCTGCTCTCTACCTCCTCTTGTACAGGCTGAATGGCTGGTCCTGCCAGCTCTTCGCTCACTACCCTCTGCTCTACCTCCTTCGGGTGCCACTCCCATTCCTCCTCAGCCCCTATCTGCTCTTCCTCGGTCTCCTCCTCTCTACCAGCTGCTGCTGTTCCTAATCCTTCCTGGTTAGCCTCCTCCAGCAGTTCCTCCATCGTTTTTGCTGTCTCCGCTGACTCTTGGCTCGGGGATAAGTGACATCCTCATAGAAAGTAGTATCCCGAGTAATCAGCACCTTCCCAGTCTCCACGTCCTTCACCACCCAGCCCTTGCTGTTAAGACATATCCCGAGGTTTATGCCCCACTTGGTCCTTGGCAACAGCTTGTGCTCAGGACCAATCGGTTCTCGATATTGGACCATACAGCCCCATACCCTCTGGAAGCTCACATCAGGCTTCCTCCTATAGAATGCCTCATGAGGGGTAAGGTTACTCACAGTACCTTTGGTAGGCAGTCTGTTTTTAACCCAACATGCCATGGCCAAAGCATCACCCCAATACCTCAGCGGAAGCCCACTATCAGCAAGCATACTCCTCACGCTGTTCAGCAGGGACCTGTTTGCTCGCTCTGCAATGCTGTTGTGCTGTGGGGTATAAGGGACAGTCAGTTGCCTCTTGATACCTTTGGACTGACAAAACTCTGTAAACCTCCTGTCTGTAAATTCACCTCCATTGTCAGTCCTCAGCACCTTCAGCACTCTTCCACTCTGGCGTTCAGCTTCAGCCATCCAAGCCACAAAGCTTGGAAATGCCTCTGTCTTCTCTCTCATCTCTGTTACCCACGTATTCCGTGTACCAAGATCAGTGAATGTGATGAAATACCTGCTCCCATGCCTGGAAGCTACTCGCAGTGGTCCACAACATCTGCAGCCACGACTTCGAGTGCCCCATAGGGTTCTCGAACCTCGTGCTTAGGATGTGGACGTTTGCTCGCTTTCCCTTGCACACACTCACTGCATGGCTTAGCAGACTCCTTACTCTGGTTCAGCTCCATCCCCATAACCATCTCCTTCGCCGCCATCTCCTTAAGTCGCTTTTCACTAGCATGACCCATCCTCCTGTGCCACATGCCTAGCTCCACTCCTCCTGCTGCCTTTGCTATAGCCATTGACCGTAACTGCGGCTCTCCCTCTGGCCTCTCCTCTATCATGGCAGCCAGCTCCTCCCTAGCCTTCTTGCCCTCCTCAGGTTCGGGTAGATAGCTAACTGCTCCTTTCACCAACCCCTTCACTTGTAACTACATCTCGTACAAACCCTGACTGCGCACCCCCTCAGCTAGAATGCGCCAATCCGTTCCGAAGACCCACATCTTTCCCTTATCACTAAAGAACTTGCTCCCTGTGCTATCGAGCTGAGACTGGCTAATCAAGTTTAGCGACAGCTTCTCGACCAGCAAAACGTTTTCAAGGGTCAGCTCCCTGTATGGACTCTGTAGCACGATCTCTCCTTCTCCCAATACCGGCAGCCTTCCCTCAACTCCTAGCAGCACATAGGGTACTGCTGACTGTTTGAAACTAGTCAACCAGTCACCTCTGTAGGTCATGTGCTGTGTGCACCCACTATCCATGAACCAGCCTTTCTCCTCAAGCCCCTTTGTGAGCACGCATACCTCCGACGGCCTAGCCAAGTTCGCTCTATGTGCTCCTCCAAGAATAGCATCCTCCTCCGCTAATGCGCCTGCTGCATTTACTCTAGCCGCTGCTGGTTTCTGTTGGAAGCGTTGACTCCTAGGGTTGAGAAAACAATCTACTGCCTTATGCCCATAGCGCCCGCAGTGTTTGCAGCTGCCCATGAAACCTCCTCCTGTCCTCCCCTTTTCTCCTGCTGCCCTGTCCGCACCCTGCTCCTTCCCTAAGGTCTTTCCCCTGAAATTCTTACTCTTAGGGTTGAAATAGCACTCGGCTGCCTTATGCCCATTTTTATCGCACTCGAAACATGGTCCGAAGCCCTTTGCTGTAGGCCCTGTCACATTAACTAGAGCTGGTTTCACTGGTGCAGCACTAGTAGCAGTTGCCTCCTTCCTCTTCCTTTCCGTCTTAACCAGCTCTAGCGATTGCAGCATCTCTACAAGCTTTGTGAGTGATGAAGGCGGGTTACAAGCGCATGCCTATCTCCATCTCCCACTCCTTCGGTAGCCCATTGATTATATACCCTATCATCTCTCCCTCGGATTCCGCCGCAACCATCGCCTGCAGATCATCGTTATAACTCCGCGCCCTGTTCACGAACTCGATAATGCTCTCCTTCTCCTCCATGCTCAACAACAACTTCTTTCAAACGATCGCTTTGTTGGTGTCGGTACGACCAAGGTAAACCGTCTCCATGTACTCCCACGCTTTCTGCGCTGAATTTAACTCCCCTGCAAACTGATCTAACCCTACACCTGTGCTGTCTGCAACGGAGTGACATAGCTGAAAGAACGCTTGCTTACTCCTTTTTTTATACGTCGCTTTTTCACACGTAGTCGCAGCTACACCTGGTGGTACTCCAATCTATGTCGTCTCGTCAGGATGAAAGAACGCCCAGAGGTCTACTTCCTCTGCCCTCCTGATAACTTCAAGCGCCACGTACTATAGTTGCTGCCACTAAAAAGCTGCGCCTCGCTCAAGCCAATCGTTGGCTTCGAAACGAAATGCCCCTGCGCTAACGCTTCTAGGAGAGCTTGTACGTAGTTGCGGGCCTCCACCAGCGGACGATCCCGAACTAACCTCGCCACGTTCATCCGCCATGGCGTAGCCGTTCTAACTCTCTCTAACCGTGCGCAACAAGGGCCTCCGCCAAGCTCTGATACCAGCTGTTAGAAAAACCGGCAGCGCTCTCGCTGCTCGTAGGTCGTTCTTACCCTCCAAACCGACTCCCGACAGCACTTGCACTAGTACTAAGGGTAGTCTTAACACCACCAGTCTAGTTCTGGTTGTAAACAGGCAGCACAACGAGAGGGAGAATTTTCAGTTTCACTATATACAAAGAGATACAAAGAAACAGATTTATATGGATTTTTTTCCTAAGCCACATGACATTGCGTAGCGCACATCCGAACCGCATTTCACACATCATAACCAAACCGCATTTCTGCTTTTCCGAACAGCGCGTCACTGTACCGATTCCTGCTCGTCGCTCACAACTCCTCCACGTGTCCCAACCACCTCCTCCTTCACACACGTAGCCCTGCAGCCCCTCACCACCTATCACACCCGTAGTTTTCAGCTTACGCCACCTGTTAGCGCTGTCATACTGCCACCTAGCCTACGCCATGCTGCCACGCGTTGACTAGGGGCAAGCGCGAACCATCTCCAACAGGGACACGTGTCAGGAAGCTGGGAGAGGAAGAAGTCAGGGACGGACGTGAGGCTGTTGACGGCGAGGAGGAGGTGGCAGCCTCAGGAATGCCGAGAGATGCGAGAGGAGGTCGTGAGGAGTCATTTGGCGTTTCTCGCGAATGTGGATAGTGGTCTGCACGCGACAAGCGATGCCATGCCATTCTTTGCAGACGAGCGCGTGCTGGAGCTGGCCGTCGGGTTGAGCGACGAGATGCAAGATGATAGTGAGCAGATCGTCTGACAGCCGTTGGATCGGCGATCCGATAGGCATGCTGACTGGTAGGGTTGGGAGCGATGCAAGGAGGTCCTCTGGAGTCGGAACTAAAGGAAATATCCGCGACGACGCAATGACAGGAACTGTCGATTAGGAACATATACTTCTGATTGACTGGGGGTCACGACACGCGATCGCTCAGCAATGAAGAGCACGCAAAGCACAGACGGACACACATGGCTGACGAGGACTCGAGTTGCTCCTGGTCCGACATTTGAAATCTGCCTTCAGGAATTGAATTTTTGAATGCTGGAATGGCTGACACAGTGTCGGGGGGGGGGGGTTGTCAGCCAGCACAGCACAGCCAAGTTCGCTGGGTGTGACAGTAGCGAGGCGCAACCTGAGGGGTCTACCGAACCGTATAGATTGCCCCGATTGTTGCAAGAGGTAACAACTAACCGGACTGAACCGATGGATATTGCTTAGTTTATTCAGCACTCCATCTTAAACCTTATGATCTCTATTTCTACCACGAAGAATGTTGTGGGACGTGACTTCATTCCTAAAACGAGTAGCTTCCATCCAGGTGCACTAACAGAAACCTCTCAATGTTATACGAGAGCCTCTTTAACAGCTCCTTACAGGACATGTATAAACATAGTCATCAAGTGAGTGATACGATTGCCATTTTGCAAATGGCCTCGAACAAAACAGAGACGGATATCGCACAGCTTAAAGCCAGACATGTAGGGCTCTCCCCACACAAGCACATCATCCTAACAGCCATGCAAATCATGCACACATCCATAACAACAGACATGCCCACACGCATCCACACACGAACGACCACATGCCAACATGCACACAACATGCAGACATGCACACATGCCCACATGCACAAGCCTCGCAAGCATTCACACACGCGTGCACACACATCACCACATGCATGCATGCATGCAGGAACCTTGATTCCGAACATTCCATGCAGTCGAATCAGCACGGCCACAGCACGTCGTCACAAGTGCCAGTGGCACCACGAAGCTAACTCAAGCCCAAGTTGCCAGGGACCCAAATCAAAGTTATGGTCGGGGTCTAAGTTGACGTCTCAAGCCCACCCTTCCCACTCAACTTACAGCCGGGGTCAAAGTTGACGTCTGAAGCCCACCCTTCCCACCCAACTTACAGCCGGGGTCTAAGTTGACGACTGAAGCCCACCGTTCCCACCCAACTTACAGCCGGGGTCTAAGTTGGCGTCTGAAGCCCACCCTTCCTACCCAACTTACAGCCGGGGTCTAAGTTGACGTCTGAACCCCACCCTTCCCACTCAACTTACAGCCGGGGTCTGAGTTGACGTCTGAAGCCCACCCTTTCCACCCAGCTTACAGCCGGGGTCTAAGTTGACGACTGAAGCCCACCCTTCCCACCCAACTTACAGCTGGGGTCTGAGTTGAAGTCAGAAGCCCACCCTTCCCACTCAACTTACAGCCGGGGTCTGAGTTGACTTCTGAAGCCCACCCTTCCCACCCAGCTTACAGCCGGGGTCTAAGTTGACGTCTGAAGCCCACCCTTCCCACCCAACTTACAGCCGGGGTCTCAGTTGACGTCTGAAGCCCACCCTTCCTACCCAACTTACAGCCGGGGTCTGAGTTGACATCTGAAGCCCGCCCTTCCCACCCAACTTAGAGCCGGGGTCTGAGTTGATGTCTGAAGCCCACCCTTCCCACCCAACTTAAAGCCAGGGTCTAAGTTGAAGCCTGAAGCCCACCCTTCCCACTCAACTTACTGCTCTAAGTTGACTTCTGAAGCCCACCCTTCCCACCCAACTTACAGCTCTAATTTGACTTCTGAAGCCCACACTTCCCACCCAACTTACAGCCTGGGTCTAAGTTGACGTCTGAAGCCCACCCTTCCCACCCAACTTACAGCCGGGGTCAAAGTTGACGTCTGAAGCCCACCCTTCCCACCCAACTTACAGCCGGGGTCTAAGTTGACGTCTGAAGCCCGCCCTTCCTACCCAACTTACAGCCGGGGTCTGAGTTGACGTCTGAAGCCCACCCTTCTTACAGCCGGGGTCTGAGTTGAAGTCTGAAGCCCACCCTTCCCACCCAACTTACAGCCGGGGTCTAAGTTGACGTCTGAAGCCCACCCTTCCCACCCACCTTACAGCCGGGGTCTAAGTTGGCGTCTGAAGCCCACCCTTCCCACCCAACTAACAGCCGGGGTCTAAGTTGACGTCTGAAGCCCACCCTTCCCACCCAACTTACAGCCGGGGTCTCAGTTGACGTCTGAAGCCCACCCTTCCAACCCAACTTACAGCCGGGGTCTAAGTTGGCGTCTGAAGCCCACCCTTCCCACCCAACTAACAGCCGGGGTCTCAGTTGACGTCTGAAGCCCACCCTTCCAACCCAACTTACAGCCGGGGTCTAAGTTGGCGTCTGAAGCCCACCCTTCCCACCCAACTAACAGCCGGGGTCTAAGTTGACGTCTGAAGCCCACCCTTCCCACCCAACTTACAGCCGGGGTCTCAGTTGACGTCTGAAGCCCACCCTTCCAACCCAACTTACAGCCGGGGTCTGAGTTGACGTCTGAAGCCCGCCCTTCCCACCCGACTTACAGTCGGGGTCTGAGTTGAAGTCTGAAGCCCACCCTTCCCAACCAACTTACAGCCGGGGTCTGAGTTGAAGTCTGAAGCCCACCCTTCCCACTCAACTTACAGTCAAGGTCAGATTTGAAGTCTGAAGCCCGCCCTCCCTGAGTCGGGGCCTTAACCCCCTCCCTTATGCAGCCTCTACCTTGGGGTGTGAACCTCCCCTACCTCGCACTGTCATTTGGGGTCTGAAACCCGCTCCCTTGCCTCACACTCTAGCTCGGGGTCTGAAACCCCCTCCCTGGCCCTGCCCGATCTTGTAACTGGGGGCATGAAACCCACTCCCATACCGAGATTCGGAAAAGGTTGGACCAGCGAACCCACATGATAGGGCATCTAGCATCAGGCAACAAGTGAGGCATCATCATTTGCTGCCTGTCATGTGGAGCTCTAGGCTCAACCCTTCGCTTCCATCCACTCAGCCAACCTAGCGGCCAAGGGGTTTCAACTTCCAACCCCCATCTCTTTCACTCACCCACTTTGGAGGCTTGAGCCCCCTGCCCCTCCACTCACTCATCTTAACCTGGGGTTTCAGCCCCCACATCGTTTCTCACTCCCCTTACCCTTGGGGCTCAACCCCACAAGGGTTAGGTAGGGGCGGAGGAGAGAGTAAGGAGAAGGAGCGGCACAAGGGCGAGGTGACGCCTCCAAGGTAACACGAGGGCACGAGAGAGGAGAGGGGCTGAGACTCCCAAGGTAAGGCGATTGAGAGGCAAGAGAGGGGGGTTCAAACCCCCAGGGTAAGGCGAGTAAAAGGCAGACGAGGGGGGTCCCTCTGCCCCTTGCTCGCCCTTACCTGGAGTTTGAACCCCCCTCCCCCCCCCTGCCCCTCGCTAGCCTTACCCTGGGGGTTCCAGCCCCCCTCCCCTGCCTTGCGCTCACCCTACCAAGGGTTACCACCCCTCCTTTGCCCCACCTCAACTTACTGACGGGGTTTCAAGCCCCTCTTCTCTTATCCCGCTCACTCAACCTAGCCCGGGGGGTTTCAGCCCCCCCCTCTCCTCTCCCGCTCACTCAACTTACACTGGAGTTTGCAGACGCCCTCCTTTGCACCAGCTCCAAGCCATTTTACCCCCCAACCGCCACCTCCCCCCTCCCAGCACTAGGAGCAGCATGCAACCCACTCCCCTTCAGAAACAGCACCCCCCATGGCTGTGCCTTGTGGTGCAAGGAGTGGCAGTGGAAAATACACGGGCGGCCCAAGACTCGAATCCCGCCGCATAACGTAGCAAGAGGGGACTCCCAACCAGAGCCGGCGCGCACGGCTCTGGCCGGTTCCATTATGCCTTAACGCCTGCTTTGTTACTTCAGCACCGACTGCCGTGCCACGCATTTTCCACTGGCCACACCCGAACCACCAGCCAGAACCACAGTGGGTGCTGCCCCTAAGGAAGTGCGCTGCACACATGCTCCCGTGCCCTCCCTCCCACCCTCCCATCCACCCCCCCTCCCGTACCACCGCCCCTCCTTACCTCCACCTACCAGCCGTGCAGAGCACCACGAGGGTTGAGGCAGCCGGGGAGTGAGGGGTGGGGGAGGCGGGGGGGGGGGTGAGTGGTGGGGGGACTCCTCTCCTTGTGCTGTAAGCGCCCATGCCTTGGGCTTGCAGGAGCACTGGGACGGGAGGAGAGGGAGAGGGGGTGGTGAGGAGGAGGGGGACTCCTTCTCTCCTGCTGTGAGCAGCCATGCCTCGGCCTCGCCTCTGGAGTGCACACCTGGTGGGGGGAGGAGAAGGAGGGAGAAGGGGTGGTGAGTGGGGGGACACCTCCTGTCCTCCTGTCCTCCTGTCCTGTGCTGTGAGCAGCCATGCCCATGAGTGCAGAAGCACACCTGGCGGAGGGAGGAGATGAAGGGAGAGATGTGAAGCATGACCAACCACATGCCATGCCATGCCATGCCATGCCACACCATGCAATGCCATGCCATACCTTACCTTACCTTGGCTTACCTCTCTCACACTAGCCTGCCCTCTAGCTACCTAGCCCCCCCTACTGCTGCTTCTGCTGCTGCGTCTGCTTCTGCTGTGTCTGCTTCTGCTTCTGCTGCTGCTGCTGCTTCAGCTGCTGCTTCCAAGTGCCACCGAGTGAGCTGCGAGGGAGGGGAAACGGGGAGGGAAAAGGGAGGGGAGGAGAGCAGTGAGTGGGGAGCAGGGCGGGAGAATGGACGAATGGCACAATACAAAACTGAAAGGAACAATCGACCTTCCCAAGGGACGAAATGCGAACAAGCAGTTGCAGAACACAAAGCAGTGGTGGGAAAAGTAGCAGGGGGGGGGAATTGGGGGGGTTGGGTGCCGGAGGGGCTCACCTTGTGTGCTGGACCCGCCACCCCATTCTCTCCCTTTGCTGCCGGCTGCAGTGCTCCCTCCCCTTGCTCCCCCTCCCCTGCACGGCCACAAGGGGAGGGGCGCAGGGGAGTCTCGGTGTTGACCCCCCCCCCCTCCCCTCCCCCCCACCTGCAACAGCCACGCACACCCACAGTCAGTGGGCAGTCACTAGCCAAAGCGAGAAATGCGTGATGCAGGGAAGAAGGGAAAGGGAGGGAGGACCACTGGTGCAGCTGCCCACAACCCATAGACCCAAGGGGAATACCTGCAAGGGGTGAGCTGGTAAAGTCTCTAGGTCTTAAGGAAAGCCTTACCTGAGGGCTGTAAGTGTTGTAGCGGGTCTGTGAGTCAGAGGTTGCTGCACCAGTGGTCGATTTCAAGAGATTCGGGGAAGAGAGGGAGGGGGCCCGCCGGGGGTGGGGACTGGGGGGTGGGGGGGGCGCATGGGGCCGGGAAAGGGGCATGAGGAGGGGGGGGGGATACAAGGAGGGGTGAGTCAGGGAGGAGGGAAACTCATCTGACATAATGCTCAAGGTGTTGCTGCCGCCGTTGGTGCTGCTCCCCCCACCACTCCCCCACTCCTCTCCCTTCCACCACTCCCCTCTCCTCCTCCACTGCCCCAGCAGCGCAGTTGCCAGAGGGAAGCAGCCGCATCCAAGGCCCTGACGAGGGATAAAAGGGGGGTAGGAATGGCAGAGGGAAGGTTAGAAGCTGGGACTGGTGCAGATGGGTGCTGATGGGTGCTGATGGGTGCTGATGAGTGTGAGTGGATGTGGGTGGGTGCGGGTGGTGGTGCGTGTGGTGTGGTGTGGGTGTGTGTGGTGAAGGGTGGTGATGATGGGTTGGGAAGCCAAAGAACTCACAGAGTGGACGAGAAGACGTCAGTTGCAGTAGCAGCACGCACAGGCCACAGACCAGGGGTATGCAGGGGGGTTCGAGGGTAGCTAGTAATGGCTCTAAGGGCTTAAAAGGGAGGGCATTACCTGGGGGGGGGCTTTACCTGGGATGCCTGGTGTGTGGCCTGAGCGCTAGGCTGCAATCAGAGGCGCTGTTTGATGTTCATGGCATGGGATGGAGCATGGGGTGCGTGGGGGGGGGGATGGCATGGCATGGTGGTTTTTGAGTCGACTCAAAAATCAGCATGGGGTGCGTGGGGGGGGGATGGCATGGCATGGCATGGAGTGACATGGCATGTGGCATGGTATGGTAGGTATGGTGTGGTGTGACATGGTGTGGAGTGGCGTGCATGGGTCAAGGGGTACTTAGCATTCCATGCGAGCGTTGCTGAGAGAGCTGCTCTGCTACGTGTGGAGTGAGCACCCTTCCTTTCCCCGCTGCTCCTGTTGCTCCAATCGCTGCTGCTGCTGCTGCTGCTTCCAAGTGCCACCACGTGAGCTGCTAGGGAGGGAAAACGGAGAGAGGCAGGAGGGGAAGGAAATGAGCACTGGCAGCAAGGCAGGATGCCACACTGACAAGAACCCGAACCCAAGGAGCGTGCATAGGCTGTAATGGCTCTAAGGGCTTTAGGGGGGGGATAACCTGGGGGGGGAGGAGGGTGGGGGGGGGTTTACCTGGAAGCCGGGTCTGTGGCCTGTACACTGGACTGCACCGAGAGGCGCTGTTCTGCAATGCATGTAACGGGGCGTCTTCGGATGGTGAGGATGCAGTGTGTGGTGTGGCATGCATGGGTTGAGGCACGAACCAGGGAGGGAGGACTTATCTTATCACTGTAGGGTGGTGCCGAGTGGGCTGCTCTGCTGCAGCCCTGCTTTACCCCTCTCCCTCCTCGCCTCTTCGACTGCTGCTCCAGCTGCCGCCCCTGCTGCTGCTGCTTCCTCCAGGTGCCACCACGTGAGCTGATAGGGAGGGAAAGGGGAGGCAGAGAGTAACGGAAATGAGCACTGGCAGCAAGCCAGGATGTGAGAAGGACAAAAACCAGAAAGCAAAGAGCGTGCATAGGCAGAGCGGAAAGCAAAGAGCGTGCATAGGCAGAGTGGAAAGCAAAGAGCGTACATAGGCAGAGCGGAAAGCAAAGAGCGTGCATAGGCAGAGCGGAAAGCAAAGAGCGTGCATAGGCAGAGCGGAAAGCAAAGAGCGTGCATAGGCAGAGCGGAAAGCAAAGAGCGTGCATAGGCAGAGCGGAAAGCAAAGAGCGTGCATAGGCAGAGCGGAAAGCAAAGAGCGTGCATAGGCAGAGCGGAAAGCAAAGAGCGTGCATAGGCAGAGCGGAAAGCAAAGAGCGTGCATAAGCAGAGCGGAAAGCAAAGAGCGTGCATAGGCAGAGCGGAAAGCAAAGAGCGTGCATAGACAGAGCGGAAAGCAAAGAGCGTGCATAGGCAGAGCGGAAAGCAAAGAGCGTGCATAGGCAGAGCGGAAAGCAAAGAGCGTGCATAAGCAGAGCGGAAAGCAAAGAGCGTGCATAGACAGAGCGGAAAGCAAAGAGCGTGCATAGACAGAGCGGAAAGCAAAGAGCGTGCATAGGCAGAGCGGAAAGCAAAGAGCGTGCATAGGCAGAGCGGACAGCATATGAAGTACTGCACTGTAGATGACTTGCAGGGCGGACGAGAAGACCTCTGCTGTAGCAGCAGCAGCACAGGCCACAGACCAGGGGTGTGCGGTAGGGTTTTAGAGGGTAGCTAGTAATGGCTCTAGGGGCTTCACAGAGAAGGGGGGGGAGGAGGACCTGGGGGGTGTGGGGAGGGGGGGGTTTACCTGGAAGCCTGGTCTGTGGCCTGCACACTGCACTGCAACCAGAGGCGCTGTTTTGGCATGCATATAAATGGGGTGAGGGTGCATGCATGGGATGGTGAGGAATGCAGAGGGGGGTGTGGCATGCATGGGTTGAGGCGGGTACCAGGGAGGGAGGACTTAGCTTATCATTGTAGAGTGGCGCCGAGTGAGCTGCTGCTCTGCTGCCGGCCTGCCTTACCCTTGCTGCACCCTCGCCTCTCCTCCCACTGCCACCGCCGCTGCTGCTGCTGCTCCCGCTGCTGCTGCTCCAGAGTGCCAGTGAGCAAGCTGTCAG